TTCTGAAGCTTTATGTAAAAGTACATGGATGAACATTGGGTGTCATTATTTAAACAGAGACTGAAGTTTCCCAGCCACGCAGACCTGAATAATCACACAAAAACTATATTAGTTGCAGAACTGTCTAGCCAACATCACAGGTATATTTCTAACTAACTTTTACATAATAAGTTAACTCATTTCTATTATTTTATATTTTACATAAGACTCTTTGCTATCTCGCATCTTTCTTCTTTGGTGGCTACATGGCATCTGCCTGACTCTTCCTTCTTTCCTCCTGCATTCAATTTAGATTTCCCAACTAGTGACAGTCTGCCCTGCCAAAGACCCAAAGAGCTTCTTTATTAACCAATAGTAATAAAACACATTCATACCATACAGAGGGGAAATCCCACATCAGTTTATAAGTGTTCCTCCATTCCAAATGAACTCCAGCATTTGTTAACATTTGTATCCTTGATACTAGACTTTCTCAAGGAATGAGAGGGAATCATAACAAATTTTAACCTGTAATTCTAAGTGTTTCCTAGACATGTGTTTCCTGCTTTAAGAATTCTGCTTTACTCCTATGTCACACCTCAGAATTGTGCTATTTCCTTGTCATTTAGGTTTTCTGCTCCACATAAATTCCTATTACTAATCTTCTGTCAGATGTTACCTGGGAAATAGTTCCTCCCATTCTTAACTGCATCTTCACTCAAACAAGTTTCCTTTGCTATACAGAACTTTTTGAGTGTCCTGACATCCAATTTACCAAATTTTGGTTTACTTCCTGTGCTACCAGAATCTTATTCATACAATCCTGACATATGCTACTGTGTTTAAATATTCTGCCTATGTTTGTTCTATAAATTTCAGTGTGTTGGGACCCACATTGATCATTTAGAGTTAAATTTTAAAGGTGTGATCTAAACATCTAGTTTAATTCTTCCATACAGTGCTAAGTAGTTTTCCAGGACCACTTCTTTAACAGGCTGTCTTTTATACAAAGTATATTTTGGGTACTTTGTCAAAGTCCAGGTAGCTATGGTTGAATGAAATTTTGTCTAGGTTTCTAGTCTATTCTATTGATCTGCACATTGTTTTGTGGCAATACCATGCTAGTTTACTACTATAACTATAGTACTGGTTTGAAAGAAGGTATTTGGAAGCTTTCCACAAAATCATTTTTGTTCAAAATTACCTTGGGCATCCTACATATCTAATGGTTCCACATAAATTTCAGCAGTTTTCCCAATCTATTTGTGATTTATGTCACTGTCATATTAATTGGGACTGCATTGGGTATGGAGTGTGTTTTAGTAGTGTGGTTATTTTCACAATATTGATTCTTCCAAACAATGAGTATGATGGGCCTGAGGATGTCTTTTCATCTTTTAAAGTCTTTTTCAATTTCGTCCATATATATATATTATAAAGTGTATCATTTCAATGGTTAGGCTTCTGTTCCAAAAGTTTGCATTTTTACTTATTTATTTGTTGTCTAGTGTTGTCAGGGTTTCTGTCCTGCCAAGTTCCTGCAATTGTTAACTCGCAAAGAAATCACACAGAGGTCTACATTTGTTATAAACTGATTGGCCCAGTATCTCAGGCTTCTTATTAACTCTTACAACTTATATTAGCCCATTATTCTTATCTATGTTAGCCACATGGCTTGGTGCCTTATTCAATGTGGCAGTCACATCTTGCTTCTTCTGTGGCAAGGTCACAGACTGCAGAGGAATGGGCTTCCTTTGTCTCAGAATTCTACTGTTCCCCTAGACCTGCCTCAACTTCCTGTCTGGTTATCTCGCCTATACTTCCTGCCTTGCCACTGGCCAATCAGCATTTATTTAAAACATAATTATCAGAATACAGACAATTCTCCCACCATACTGCCCCCTCTTTTAAAAAAATGACAAGAACTCTGAAACTAATATCCTTCATTCAGCTTTTCTCCTGACCTTGAACCATAATAACTTGTAACCAACATTCTAAACAAACGAATATATCCCTAGTCCATTTTTTGGGAATGTGAGCATAGTTCTCCAGGCTACTTCCTGCTGGTTGAGGGTGTTGATAATCTTATGGGGATCTAAAGAAAATTTAGAATTATGATCAAGTCTTGACTGGAGTATCCTGTGAGTCTTGATCATCTCAGACAGCATCTTGAATCTGTTCTGGATGTAGAACTCTGACATCTGGGACATCTGTTACTACCAGAGATTTCTCAGGTGGTCATCCTTGATCAAACCTGATTTTTCTTAACACAGAATAAATCCACAGCCTCTCATTTCCTGTGGAAACAAAAGCAAATCCTCTTCTCCAAAGTTGCATACCTTTTAACTTCAATTTTGAAGTCAAGGTATTTTTAAAATACCTATCTTGGATTAATTCAGCAGCATTTGTAAACAAATAGCTTTTAGCAGCTATTGCTACTTTCTCAGCATTCAAACAATTCAAAGAGAGCAATATAACATAAAGTATCCAGATTCTCTGTGCATTTTTCAACTCTATGCGGCTTTATTTTAACCTCTATTTCTTTTATTTTTACTTTAATTTTTTGACTATTTGAGACAGGTTTTCTGTGTATCTTTGGCTGTCCTAGAACTCCCTCTATAGACCATGCTGTCTTTGAACTCACAGAGATCCACCTGCCTCTGCCTTCCAAGTATTGGGATTAAAGTTGTGTGCCACCACACCCAACTACTCTCTTTTTTTCTTTTTTATTTTAAGGACTTTAACCTTTTTCTTTTCTCTCCCAATCCTGCATATATTTTTAACACACTGTAAGCCATTTAGAGGTTTACTTCATTTGACTTTATCTTTACAGTATGTCTCTCTCTTTTTTGACCACATGAGTCTTTAATTTGTTAAGCAATATGGCTAGGATTAAAGCTGTGGCTTTGGCAGCTGGATCCGTGGCTTTGGCAGCTGGATCCAGCCCATTCCTTAGCTTTCTGAGATTCTAGCCTCATGGTGTAGGTACCAGCTATAGCCATGTTTATTGCCACAACTCTATGGCATTTCAAGGTCCCTGCCAGCAAGCAAGCTGCAGCAGTCTGCTCACAAAGCACACTCAAATGCTCTGTTGTGGGACCTATGGCCTGAAAGATTCAGAGTTTGCACTAGCAAGATGGCCCTGAAAGCTGGCATTTTAAAATGGCACCACTTTTTTTCCTGTTAAGGCTGAAAACCAAAAGCATGCAGTCAGCTTTTCATCCACACCACTTAAGTGTTTCGTGGCAGGACCTCTTAAAAGAGCAGCAAGGTTTTACATCTAAAGCTGAGTCAGGAAGCTTCTCTTAAAGGAGAGTGCTTGCATCTAGCAAGCAGAGCCCACCCAAGAAAATGCTGCTATTAAGAATCCATGTTTAACTCTATTCTTTTTTATCTAGAATAACTTCCCAAGTTCTCTCAGGTTATTAAGTAGATTTTCTCAGCCCCTAGTTGAGCACCATTTGTTGTCAGGGTTTCTGTCCTGCCAAGCTATCACAATCATTAAGTTCCAAAGAAATCACACAGAAGTCTACATTAGTTATAAACTGATTGGCCCAGTATCTCAGGCTTCTTATTAACTCTTACAACTTATATTAGCCCATAATTCTTATCTGTGTTAGCCACATGGCTTGGTGCCTTATTCAATGTGGCAGTCACATCTTGTTTCTTCTGTGGCAAGGTCACAGACTGCAGAGGAATGGGTTTCCTTCTTCCCAGAATTCTCCTGTTCTTCTAGACATATCTCTACTTGCTGTCTGGTTATCTCGCCTATACTTCCTGCCTTGCCACTGGCCAATCAGCATTTATTTAAAACATAAATGACAGGATATAGACAATTCTCCCACACCAGACTAGAAATTGTTTCATATTTTCAACCTCACATTGACAAGAGAAAACAAAATTGTAAAGTATTTTTGAGTGAAGTAACAGCATAGTCTTACTTCAGCATCCACAATGCCAAAACCAATTCCCCTTATCAATACCTTTGGGAATATCCAGCCCTTGACATCTGTCAAACAATGGTGGTTCCTTCTCCTGAGCTGCTAGAAATGGGCTCCATATGTGGTCAAAAACTGAGCTTTTCTCAGGCCCACTTGTGGTCAAGGAACAAGCTTTGTTTAGCTTTGCCCTGAGTGAGGTACAGGAGAACTGACCCGCCCAAGCATCAGCCAGTGTTTGAATCTCACTCCAACATTTACTCTTTGGGTGATCTTGGGAAATGACTTAACCCATTTGATTCTGACATTCCTCACCTTTAAACCAAGATCAGAAGGAGTAACTCGTAGGATGTGTGGAAAGTTTAAACACTGCTCATACACATTTTGGTTTTTAAATTCATTGTCACTCAAATCACTTTCTTCAGTAGATGCTCCACTTTATCTACAAGTCAGGATACACCAAGATGGTGCAGATTGCATGGAGTGTAAGCAGTATCATCCTTCTTTCATAATAAAATTAGGGCTTCTAATACCACAAACTGGGCCCTTGGGCTGACTTCCCTAAACTGTTAGAGCACAGTGAACTTAGAATCTTCTCAAACACTTGGGATTATTCATGAACTGAAATTTATTAATCTCCTTCACTTAGTGTGAAAATTCACTTATAATTTCCGTGTGTGCAGTCTCATATCATCTTGAGTCTGCCATCAAACCAGGAACACATATTTGGGCAATGTAAGCATACAAGGTCAAACAAGGAAAAGAAAATAGTTTTCTACCCAGAAACAAATGTTTTAAACCAGTAAGGGACTTCGTAAATTCTCCCCAGGAAATATAATCAAGGATAAAATTGAGGCTGTGATCCTGTGGGAGAAATGTCTGTTGCCATTCACATGTCTTCTCTCGCAATGATGACAGGTCTGGTTCCTCGATTCCTTTTGTAAGGAAATGGTCACCTTCCAGATTATGTTGGGATTTCTTTAGTTCATTCTCAAAATCCCAGGCATGATTGGGAGTTGCAAAGACTGCACTGACTGTTGGTGACAGACATCATTACAGATGATCATCTCGCTTTTCTTTCAGGAGACCTCAGGCCTGCACAGCCCATGGTCCCTACAGCCCACAAAGGTCAGTAACACTTATACAGGGCCAGAGAAGCCTATAGTATTCTGCAGGTAGATCATCTGATCCTTGAGAGGAGGTCAGCAAGAAAGGAGGGACCCTTACTTTGCAAACCTTACCAGGACATGTAGGGCATGTGCCTGTACAGGGCAGAGTTCTCTCATGCCTCTTTGCTTCCCATGTTGAAAATAACCCCACCCTATAGCACAAATAATAAATACCCGGAGACAGATATTGGGGTTCAACCTGAAGATCATAAAAGCAGAGCAGCAGGTTACTGGCTCTTACCTCTACCTCATAGTGAAATGGGGTGAGATCTTGTATCCACAAACTCCCAAACTCCACAACCCACACTCCATACTACGCTCCACACTACACTGAGTTCCTGTCTCTTCTCCATATTCCTCTCTTTACCCAGCCATATCACTCCTGTCTCCACCTCCACCTCCACTTCCCTAGTACTGAGATTAAAAAATGATATCCCTTTGTATGAGCTCTATTTCTCTTTAAGACAGATTTCATCTTGTGTAGCCCAGGCTGGCCTTGAACTAACAGAAATCCCTCTGCCTATGTCCCCGAGTCCTGGGATTAAAGGTGTGTCACCACTCCCTGGACTGTATGACTGACTAGTATGACTGCTTTGCTCTCTGATCTTCAGGCAAGTTTTATTTAATAAAACACAAATAATAGATTACTATACTACCCACTCCCAACCTGAACACCTTACCATAAACCCTTCCTCCTAGTTAGGCAGTGTGTCAGACTATAACTGGTCTCAGGAAGGATACAGATATTTTTTCTCATAACTTACCAGAGGAGGAAGGGAACCAGGGGTGCAGGATGCAGATGAGATACGTTAAAAAAAATAAAACAAGAACTGAGCAGACAGTGGAAGAGTCCATGGAGGACCCTTTCTATACTCAGTGTCAGTCTTCACTCCTAGATGCTCCTGCCTTGCCACACTTTGTAGACCAGCATCGGGAGCAGCTGGTGGCCCGAGTGACATCAGTGGACTCTCTACTGGACAAACTGCATAGTCTGGTGATAAGTGAAGAGGAGTATGAAGTGGTGCGAACTGAAGCCACCACCCAAGACAAGATGCGGAAGCTCTTCAGCTTCAGCCGGTCCTGGAACAGGGCCAGCAAAGACCAGGTCTACCAAGCTCTAAAGGAAACACATCCTCACCTGATCATGGACCTCTTTGAGAGGTCAGGTGGTGTCTCTGTGGGATCCTGACATCTTAGTGGCTGAGGGGTGAGCACACTTCTTTGAGACCTAGCTCCTTTGGCCTTCAGTTTCTCCATCTATAAACCAGTGGCCATCTGATTTGCCTGTCTGATGTCAATGCTTCCAGAACATCTCTTGGGGACTCAGATGTCACCTCTTGGCCTTCCCCATCCTGTTCATGTGGGATGTGCATCTCAGGAAACTTCCAGTGGAGCCAGCAAGTCTATTCAGCCTTGTCCAGATGACTTTCACGACCTGAGTGGCCAGTCTCAAAACCACCTGACTAAACATGACACAAGCAGAACTGGGAGCATGGGAATGGAGACAATAAGATGGTGCTTTCCCTGGAAAGTGAATTCTTATGAATAGGGAAGGAAGGGGGATTCTTAAATATTTACCACCCTCAGCTTTTGTTGTCTTTATTGATTCTATTTCTGTTTTCAGGTCTTGATCAACTTATTCATTTACTTCCTTTGTTCTTTGTGTTATTTAAATGTTTTAAGGAATTTGTTCATTTCCTCACACTGTTTGGGTTCTCCTGTATATCTTTAAGGGATTTATTGATTTAATCTCTGAGGACCTCTATCATCTTTATACAAATTTTTAAGATCTTTTTCTTGTGCTTTAACTATGTTGGAATATTCAGACGCTGCTGTGGTAAATAGGTGGGCTCTAGTGAAGGTATTTTTGACTGTATTTTTTATATAATCAACTAGGAATATGGAATTGGAATGATTAAAGGTCTAAGTACTGATATCTGGATTTGGTTTGGTTTGGGAGGGTGTTTTGAACCTTTGTTTCTGTTTCTTCTGATTTTAGGAGAGTGTCATGGCTGTTTCCTGCCTGGGAGGAAATTTTATGCACCTAATATGTGTGGTCAGTGAGGTTTCCCAGTAAAATGTATTTCTTAACATTGATGGCTGACTCTTAGGAATGGGATGATCTAAGAGTCTGAAGGAGTTCACAGGAGGGAGGAGATCAGAGTGTTCAAGAAGGACCTGTGTCTTTAGTCTCCTATGAGACTAAATGAGAGGAGGGACAGTGAAAAGAGGTCACTCACAGGTCGGCTATAGCACTGGGGGTGAGACAGGATTGGATCTAGACGGACAGAAGGAGAAAGCCTACACAGCCTACCTGCTTCCCTGGCAGGAGTAGTCTGTGAGTTATCAGTGGGTGTCTGCTGGAATTGGGGCCTGGGATAAAACAACAAGTGGGGTAGGGAGGCTGGGAGGAAAAGGTCTGTGGGATCCACAGGAGATGTTGGCAGAGGAGGAAGGAAGACTGAAAAATGGGTGCTCCGTTGCAGAGATAGTCATGAGACTTGGGCATTGGGTTTGGGGGAGAGGAAGGAGTGGTGAAGGTCCTCAGTTAGCTTACCGGTTTCTCTGACTGTGCAGCTGCTGTGATCACAGGAGTGAATGTCAGCTGGTTTGGAGGCTGAGCTCCTGGGATGAGTTGGGGAAAGGAAGGATGGAGCAGACAGAAGATCTTTGAGATTTGAAGGGAGTGACATCAGATGGGAAAGGAGACCACAACAAGTGTTCTGTTTAGTTAGGGATGAGGTTGGGGTACTGGGAGCTGAGGAGGAGGAGAGGAGACCTGCAGTCAGTCTAGCACAAAGGGATATTCCTAATTCTCTAAGCTTTCTAGAACTCAATGAAAACAAATATACAATATACTCAAAAAATTGGATACAATGAAAGCAATTCTAAGCACTAAGTGAATACATTAAAAACTACAGAGATCTAATACTAGCAACTAACAACATACCTGAAAGCTCAAGAACAACAAAAGAATTCATCACACTCCAGGGGAGTAGATTGCAAGAAATAATCAAACTCAGGGTTGAAATCAGTAAAAGATAAACAAAGAGAAAAATTTAAACAATCAATACAAGATAGAGAGATTTTTCTTTGGGCTACCAGTTCTCAAAAATGACACAGAAATTTACTATTAATATTATGAAATATTGACCTTAGCTTACACTTATCGTACTAGCTCTTATATCTTAACCCATATTATTAAATGTGCATTCTTTTACGGAGCTTGTTTACCTTTACTCTGTATTGCCTGTCCTGTTCCTCCACATCTGACTGGTGACTCTGCCTTTACTCTTCCCAGAGCTCTCTGCCCCCAGAAGTCCTACCTTACCTATTCCTGCCACTCAGCTTTCTTTTTATAAATCAATCCCAGTGACAAATCTTCATACATTGAAAAGGAATATTTCACAACAATGAAACAAATAGTTGTTTTTTGAGTAAATCAACAAAATTTCTAAATCCTTATCCAAATTAACTAAGAGGCAGAAAGACAGTATTCAAATTAATAATGTCAGAAACAAAAGGGGGACATAACAATAGACACCAAAGAAATCTAGAGAATCAAAAAGACATACTTTAAAAAACCAGTGCTCCAACAAATTGAAAAATCTAAAAGAAATGGATAATTTTCTCAATACACATCACTTATCAAAGTTAAATCAAGGTCAGATAAGCAATTTACACAGACATATACCCCTAGTGAAATACAGGTAGTAACTAAGTTTTCCAAACAAAACATAGACCGGGACCAGACGGTTTAGTGAAGATTTCTACCAACCTTTCCAAGAAGACCTAATACTTCTCAAATTATTGCACAAAATAGGAGCAGAATTAGTATTGCCATATTCATTTTATGAGACCACAGTCACCATGATACTCAAATGCAAAAAAGATTCAACAAAGAAAGAATTGCAGACCAATTTCCCTAATGAACATAAATGCAAAAATACTTGTAAAATACTTGCAGTTTAAGCCTGGTGGACCCCAGAGGTCAAGCACGGGTCCACCCCAGGTCTCTAGACTCGGGGCAGGAAGAATTTCACTCTCCTCTGGTACTAGGTAGTCAGGCACCATTATGATTTTTAGCAGCAGAGTCCTGCCCAGCACCATGACAGACTGTGCCAGACAACAAGACCCAGAAGCAGGCCAAAGGGGGACTGCCCAGGGCTCTGAGGAGGAAAGATGGTCCCGTCCTGAGCCAAGATGGCTGAGTTGGAAGAGACCCATAGATGGCATGGGACAAACAGGCACGATTATGATCTACAAATGTATGGTATGGTATGGTATGGGAAAAAGAAAAGACAGAATGGTTAATGTCCTGTGGACAGAGGCAGATCTGAAGAGGTGAAAGCAGTGAGGAGCAGGCAGATGAGGGTGGCTTGATTGCCACCTAGTGCCATGGTGATGTCTGGGCCTGGGCTGCTGCCTGATCCCAGGTCTGGATTCATGACCCTGATGCATTCTAGGTCGGTATTGATGTCTATGACTCCTGATACCACCAAAGGTCCAGAAGGTAGAGTTGGTACTACCCCTTTCTAACTGTAACTCAGGGGAGAACTGGTCCTGCCCCTCACTCACTTAAGCACTCAGGAGAGAGTGTTCTACACCTCCCCTGGGTAACACAATAGAGCTGTCCCTGATGGGGTAGGTGTGGGAGAGCTGACCCTAAAAGCAGGAAAGTAGGAGAACTGGCCCCACCCCTTGCTCATCTCTGCAAAGGATGAGCTAGCCAGGTCAATGCAGGAGAGCTCTCCCTGGTGGGGAGGATAAGAAGCAAGAGCTGGCTGGTGGATTGACTAATCCTGCAACTACCCAGGCCCAGAAGCAGGGTTATGGGTTGGTCAATAACATCTAACCCATCTATGATCTGCTAGAGCAGTGAAGGGGCTGGTATTGCAGACCCAAGGCTACAGAATTTCCAAACACAAGGCAACAACAGACTGTCAAAGAGGAGTCCAGTGAGGGCCCAACATCAAGAGTAGCAAAAACCAGAATCCCAGAACCAGATCAATGAACCTTTGCATTGAACACGTGTAAATAATGATATATGAATTAACAGTTTATGGCATGACTCACTGTATCACACTACTGCTTTCATGTCAAGATTGATTATTTTTTTCTTTTTTTTCCTTTAAATTTCATGTTACTTTGAGTGGGAGAGGTTGCAAGGACAGAAAGCAGATACAAAGGGATGAGGAAATAAATGGAATTGAGATGCCTGATGTGAAAGACACAAAGAATTAAAAAAAAAGAAAAAATACTTAATATGTTAGAAGAGTCATTAAAAATGAATTTAAAGAATACTTGCATTTCAAATGCAAGACCGCATAAAAAGATTATCAGTGATTATCCAGTAGGCTTCATTCCAGAGATGCAGGGATGGTTCAATATATGAATAGCAACAAATATAATCTGCCATATAAACAACCTTAAAGGTAGTAAAGGAAAACACATGATAAGCTCATCATTTCATCAGATACAGGAAAGACCTTTAACAAAATCCAACACCCCTTCATGATGAAAGTTCTCGGGACATTATAGATACAAACAACATATGTAAACATAGTAATGGCAGTTCACAGAAAGTCCTTAGCCAATGTCATTTTAAATTAAGAGAAAGTCAAAGCAATTCCACTAAAACCAGGAACAAGAGGTTATTTACTCTCTCCATACTTAGACAAAATAGTATTTAAAGTCTTAGTTTGAGCAATAAGCTAAGGCTTGTTGTTTGTAAAATGTATAAGCTGAATGAGCTCAAGGGGATATAAATTGGAAAGGATGTACTCAAAATATCTTTATTTGTAGATGATATGATAATATTCATAATTGACCCTAAAAATTCCACTGGGAAACTCCTACATCTGATAAAACAATTTTATCAAAGTAGCTGGATACTAAGTCAATTCATAACCGTCACTACAAGTGACAAATGGACAGAAAAACAAATTAAGGAAACAACATCTTAGCCTCAAATAAAATAAAATATCTTGATGTAACTCTAACCAAGCAAAGGAAACAATTGTATGATGAAACTTCAAGTCTTTGAAGGAAGTAATTGAAGAAGATATCAGAAGATGGAAAGATCTCCCATGCTCATGGATGAGTAGGATGAACATAGTAACACATGTAAACTCAAATGTTCTCCCATAATAAAATGCAAACATGAAGCACAGTTAATAAAATCTCAGAAACAGATATTAGTGTTCTGCTTGAAGACCAGAAAAGCAAAGCAGCCAGCCACTAACTCTTACTGAACCTCAGTCTCAAAATGGTGATCCTGTCTCCAGGAAAACTCAGAATGAGACTGAGCCTGAAAATTGTCTCCTTCCATTTTATAATCCTCTCTAGCTCTTGAATTAAAGTTGTGCACCACTGAGATTAAAGGCGTGCACTGCCCGGTTTCTATTTCAACTAGTGTGGTTACTGGGATTAAAGGTGTGTGTTAACACTGCCTGGTCTGTAAGGCTGACCTGTAGGGCTGTTTTCATCTCTGATCTTCAGGTAAGCTTTATTTATTAAAAATATAAATGAAATGCCACTACACAAATACATGTTAACTTGTTACTTTCGTGTTAAAAAACAAAAATAGAAAGATATTTAAAACTTTACAATCCATAATGAAGTTATCGTGTTTCTATAAGAGCAGAAGGTCTTTCATGTACAGGAAAATGTTATACTATATTCACAGCAAACGATAACCCAACTATGAACCAAGGTATTTCAGAAGTTTCATAGGCGTTGTGTGGTGTGCAGGTTCATGCAGTAGAAAGCACTCAGGCTGGGTGCTTAGAACCAGAGGTGTGAGGAAATCACATGATGCAACATGCCACACACTACAGAAACGCCTCAGATTCAGTGCACATTTGAATTAAGCTTGGTCATTTCATGTACAGAAAACGTTTTTCTTGTCAAAATTTTGCAAGTGCCACGGTGACATTATCCCATACAGAGACGTGATTCACAGCTTAAGAACCTGATGTACATCCTGGCAGTGGAGGTGCATGCTTAAATCCAGTACTTGGGAGGTAAAAGCGGGTGGATCTCTGTGAGTTCAAGGCCAACCTCATCTACAAAGCAACTTCTAGGACAGCTAGAACTGTTACACAAGGAAAGCCTGTCGAAGGGAAGGAAGGAAGGAAGGAAGGAACGAACGAACGAACGAACGAACGAACGAAGGAAGGAACGAAGGAAGGAAGGAAAAGGGGAACTGATAGTACAATTTTAAAATGAAAAGCAGACATAAGACTGTGAGTAAGAGCCTTGCTGCTATTGCATAGGCTCAGAATTCTACTCCCAGCACCATAATCAGACAGATACACATTCAAAGACACACACACACACACACACACACACACACACACACACAAATGTACACACATTCACACACAAAGACAAATATATAAAAGAATGACAAATTGGGATTTCTCTTTATTGCTCACCCATCTACCAAAGTAGGACTTAAAATTCATGACGGTGTGTTTGCTGCAAGGGTAGGCCTACCAGTTTCTTTGACCAGGCTGTCTAGATACCCTTGGAATCAAGTTTCTTGGCCCCTACTTCCCAGACTCATAACCAAAGCTGTTATCCTGGCTTCTCAGTGCCTCCCATCTTCTACTCTGCACTCCGCAGGTGTGCTAGCTCAGCCTGTGTGAATCTCTGAAGTTCTCCCTCTCTTTATCTCTCAGGACACAGTATTTTTCTTATTTTCATGCCTACCCTTCATGTTGTCACAGGCAGACAGTTTCTCCCAAGACTTCTTACACAGAATCCTCTAGGGTTTTATTTGACAAGAGATAATTCCATGTTTTGACCTTCCTTCCTGCTACATTGACTTCATTGGGAATTTGGAAATAAAACTAAACAGTTGGGTATTACAAGGGAACTCAAGGCTCTTAAATGTATACAACAGATATAAAACCTTGGATTTCTTTGTAAATAAGAGAAAATGCTAAAATATCATGCTGTAGAATATTAGTTGAAGTTGTGCTACGTTTATTTATACTATGGAACATTTGTTTTAATGATTCAAAGATGTGCTGCATTCTTTTAGGTTACATTTGTTTAACTCTGTGAAACTGTGCTACTTTGCCTGTCTAAAACACCTGATTTGTCTAATAAAAAGCTGAACGGCCAACAGCAAGTCAGGAGAAAGGATAGGCATGGCTGGCAGGCAGAAAGGATAAATAGGAGGAGAAATATGGGAAGAAAGGATCAAAGATCTAGGGGGGAAAAGAAAGAGAAGAGGACTCCAGAGGCCAGCCACCCAGCTACATAGCAAGCCATAGAGTAAGAAGTAAAGGAAGATATACAGAAATAGGAAAAGATAAAACCCAGAGGCAGAAGGTAGACGGAATAACTTAGTTAAGAAAAGCTGGTTAGAAACAAAGCAAGCTAGGGCAGGGCATAGAAGTAAGAATAAGCCTCCTCTAAAAGCTAGAGAGTAACCCTGTCTCAAAAAACAAACCAACCAAAAAAAAAAAAAAGAAGCCTCCATTTGATATATTTGGAAGCTAGCTAGTGGACCTCCTAAAGAACCATAAGAACAAAGAGTAAAACCAACCAACAACAATACCAATATCAATTTGTAAATATAAATTTAAGTCTGAGTTTCTTAAAAGATCAATAACACTGAAATATATTTAGGTATACTGAATTTCATTTCATGAATTATTGGTATATAAAAAAGAAGTCACATTCCTTTCTTCTGGCTGCTTGTTGGAACGCAAGGTCACTGAGTGCTCTAGGTAACCCAGGCCTTCTGCTGATGTGGTTAGGATGCTCTGAGAAACAAGCTGTGACAGTACAGACTCTGTGTCCAGCAGCAAATCCACACTGACACAGTCCCCATACCTGAGGTTCTCAACTTGGCTCCTCCGAAGGACATGTCACCTGGAAAGTGGTCAAGTGTTTGGTTGCTTCAATCACATACTGGTACATTCACAGCCTTTTTTTACTGTAAAAATATATTAGTGACAAGTTTTTTTGTGTCAATTGTCCAGCTGTGGCTTCCCTGTCAATAAAATGTTTTTGGCAGTGTGAATCAATACCAATAGTCACCACAGAGAGCAAAGGGCACTTGCTTCTTTGTTGTGGAGTGGAGGGCTGGCTGCATTCTCCTGCCTGTCCTTTCTTGTGGTGGATTTTGGCCAGCAAAGAAAACACAACACCGGACTCTTCTCAATTGCAGTTTAATCAGGAAACCTTGAATAATCTTCTCTTCTGGGGAAAGCCAGCCCACATCTAAAATAGCCCCTGTGTAGCCAACTCCAACAAGCCACGTGTTGAATACGGATAGGCCCAGGTACACAGAAACAAGCCAGATTCTTAGTTTTTGCCATGTATGGAGTTGTTTACAGTTGAAAGCACATCCCACCCAGGGGGTGGAGAGCAGCAGTCAGTGCCATCTTTAAGGTGCGGCACAAAGCAGCTCACTACATCTCCCCCTTTTTGTTTTAGAGGCCACAGGTAAGAGTAGAGGCCTGCTCTCTGTAAAAACAAGAGCCTTGTACTGATCCTCCTTAGGTGTCTTCCACTTAAAGAGTGCCAGACTAGCCCGATGACATTTTTCAGAGGTGGTAACTAGGGCATCAACCCACATGCAGCTAGGTGTGCTCTTCTCAAGGTTAGCAAAAGGCCGCCCTTGAGTGCAGTGCCTTGCCTCGCACCCTGGATGCGTCAAATTATTGTTTCATAGCGGCTAACCTTGCTTGGGGGGATTGGCCAGCCTCTATAACCATGAATGCTTGTATAATCATGGCTGTACTGCGATGCTGAGTGTCCCTAATCCGACAGATACACCACAGGCAGGCTAGAGAGACCAACACCAGAAGGCCAGCTAACGCTCCCAAACCTGCCCACTCCTTCAGATGATTTATGGCTGCAGAAATCCAGGACAACCATGCCAGCATCCAACTTGGGTAGAGTTCACTTCAACGATGGCCACCCTCAGCTGTTCCATCATGGCACCAAATTCTCCAGTCCTGTTACCTAAAAGATAACTAGACAACTGTTTAGACAAATTTGTAACAAGGGGAAAATGCTCATATTGTATACTAGTCATGTCATGGGAAACATCCACAGGCACAGGCATGATGCTCCTCGTGTTGAACTCATCTAATCAAATGCTCTGGCACCCACACCGGATCGTGTTGGTCCTGTGGGAAAATGCAAACAGAGCCTCGTGTCCCTGTTAGCACGAGATCGGGCCCATACCAGAGCCCTGTCAGAATATCCTTTTACTTGACCATTTCTTTAGCAGGGCCATGGGGGTCCTGATGTCTATCAGCTGCAGAGCAACCTTGAGAAAAAGTCAGTGGTAAAGAGGGCAGTAACACCATATGCAGAATCTGATATTAAATTAAATGCCAAAGGGCAAACTTTACATTTTACAGCCTGTCTTAGATCCATCTGTAAATATATTTGGGGCCATGGAAATAGGCTGTGATGATGTTATTTTTGGAAATATTACAGGATGTTCCTTAAAAATCCTTTTGTGGATGTTTGGGATAATGATTATCTATGTTGCCATCAAAACCACACTGCAAAATAGCCCAATCATCTATCGTAGCACACAAGATCTTAACTTGATGGCTGGAATAAGGCACTATAATGGAGGTGGGGGCAGTCCCCAAATATTGTAAACACTGCTGAATCCCTTTCAGGGCTAAAGTTGACACAGCAGTAGGATAATGCTCAAGAGCTTTGGCTGGAGATATTTTGGGATAAATCCAAAGCAATGGCCCGTTTTGCCATAACAATCCTGTAGGCTGGTGATATGAAGGCAGAATGCACAAAACAATGTCTTGCCCCCTTGAATCCTCTGCAGAAAGGCATCTTGTAATCTACTTTTCACCCCTCTGTTTTTTTTCTTCTTCTTCCTTTTTTTTTCTCTTCTCAATGCCTCACATGCTTTAATAGTCAGTTGCCTTGGAGAATTCAAAGCAGAATCTCCATTTAAAATATCATATAAGGGCTTTAACTCACGATTTGGCAACTTCAAATAACATCTAAGCCAAATTATATCGCCTAACAGCTTCTGAAAGTCATTCAAGGTCTTTAAATTATCTTTTCTCCATTCTACCTTTTGCGGAATAATTTGCTTCTCACAAAGTCGTGCTCCTAGATAATTTACAATGTTATCCTTTTGTACCTTATCAGGGCTATAAATAATCCCTTCTTTTCAAGCAATTTAATTAACTCCACATAGGCCTGTTCTAAGTCCGAGCAGCATATATATATATATATATATATATCTGTCCCACGCTGAATTTTTAGCTGCTTGATTAGCTGCGGCCTGTTTGCTAGCAAACTCAACCAAAAAGGTTCTCCAATCTAAGTACTGTCCAGGGCTCAGGCATGCACAAGCAAACCCACTCCAGTCACTAAGTGTCGTGTAGTATCTATTTAGGGCTTCTGCCTGTGCCACAGTAAAAGAGACTGTAATCCCATAAATTTTTACAGATTTAGCCAAGGACTTAATCACCTTAAAAACCAGAGGCTCTTTATACTTATTTTCTTGCTGACCTTGAAACATTGGATATGCTAATTGCAGCTCAGTTTTCACCACTTTCCAAACGCCTAGATAAAATGTGCATCTGGAGCTGCCCTGACCTCCTCCCACATAAGGTAGAGGGGTAAAGCGTCAGGGCTTTTGAACCTCCTTTCCCCCTTTTTTTTTCTCACCCTCTTTCTCAGTCTTGTCTTTTGCAATTTTCTTGTGATTGTCTGTAGTTGTTTATTTGACTCTTTTAACTCAGAAAGGTCCAGGTATAACTCCCCCCATTTCTGATGGTTCCTTTTACTGCTTGCCTTTTCTGACCTTTTTGATCTTTCCTCTTGCAACATCTCCAGCGCTACCTGTCCATTTTCTACCGCTTCACTACAACGCTGGTCCTCAAGACAGCTTTTAATTAACTTTCAAATTGGCTTGACCCCTCCCTTAAGGATCCCTTGCTCAAATGCAAAATCGAGGTCTCTCCCTATCTTTTCCCACAATGATACCTAGAGACTCCCTGAAATGGCGAGTCAGGGTGTAATGGTGTCGCGCCCGTTTAAAAACTTCTCCCTAGTACTTTGTCTTATCTTTAGATTCTTTGAACGTAGCAGCTCATTAAGAGCCAAAAAAATTGGGTGCGATTGATTAGCGCCCATACTTGATTTATATTTCTTTTACTTTCGTTTCGTCAACTTGCGAAACCGATTTTCACTCACTCCTTATTTATGGAACGAGCAATAAATCTCCCGCTTTGAATGTGGCTGCTCCCCCTTTATTTCCAGGCAAGAGCAATTAACCCCCGCTCTGCCGTGGTTACTTTCTTTTTAATTATCGAGAAAGCTCTTAATTAATCCTGCTTTAATAATAGTCACTTTCCTTTATTTACAGGGAAAGCAATTAATTAATCCTGCTTATTAACAGCAGTTGCTTTCTCTTTATTTACAGAGAACACAATTAAATAATCCTGCTTTTTTGCAGTCGCCTTCCTTTATTTACAGGGAAAGCAATTATTTACCCCTACTTTAGTCGTAGGATTCCCATTTACCTGGGAACTATTTCCCCTACTTTGGTCGTAGGATTCCCATTCACCTGGGAACTATTTCCCCTACTTGGTCATAGGATCCCCAGCTTACCTGAGGACGATTCCAGTGCACTGCCCTGACTGCAATGAGTTCTGGGTCCTTGATAAGCGCCTCCCGGGGTTCGGCACCAACTGTGGCGGACTTTGGCCAGCAAAGAAAACGCAACACCAGACTCTTCTCAATTGCAGTTTAATCAGGAAACCTTGAATAATCTTCTCTTCTGGGGAAAGCCAGCCCACATCTAAAATAGCCCCTGTGTAGCCAACTCCAGCAAGCCACGTGGGGAATACGGATAGGTCCAGGTACACAGAAATAAGCCAGATTCTTAGTTTTTGCCATGTATGGAGTTGTTTACAGTTGAAAGCACATTCCACCCAGGGGGTGGAGAGCAGCAGTCAGTGCCATCTTTAAGGTGCGGTACAAAGCAGCTCACTACACTTTCTTATATTATAAAATGTTTTATTTAACATTTTGTGTCCTCCAGGGGAAACATTGCAAAATTAAAAACCACAATCTTTGGCTCTTGACTCCTCAAATGTGTTTCTTTTTTATTTTTCCAGCATAATATTTGTATTGCTTATTTGGGAATTTCCATAATGCATCTCAATCACACTGACTTCCTAGTCCCTGCATGAATATCCCCCCACCCTTCTAACCTCTCCCAACAAAAAAGAAGAAGAAGAAAGAAAGGAAAAAAGGGGGAGGAAGGAAGGAACGAACAAAGAAAAATAAGGAAAGGAAAAAATATGAGTCCATTTTCTGTTGCCCATGTACTCACTGGAGCATGGTCAAACTCTCAGTGGCCATCCCCTTAAAGGACACTGGGACCTTTTCCACCTGCACCCCACCAGATGTCATCAATTTTGGAGAGCTACACGTTTTTATTCTTTTTTACTTTGCTGTTATGTTTTGGGGGTGGCAGAGTGGTGGTAGGGGTTGTCACAGAAACCTCTATGTCCCTGTTTCAAAACTGTGAATCTGCAGTAATCAATATCACTGTAAAAGTATCTTTCTTGCCCCTTACAGTCAGTGGGATCATGAATCATGGGTATTGTTCTTTTTTAAAAAATAATACCATGGTGGGATGTCCCGGGCAGCTCGCGGAGCAGCTGCAAGTGGCAGCGCCATGCAGCCGGGGAGTCAGGGTCCCCAGGCGAGCGGCAGAGTCAGGCGGCTGGATGCGATGGACGGCGGGGTAAATGGACATAAAGCTATACATAAAGCTAGACATTAATTACTTAAAGAAAGGGAAAACATAGACAAACATAGAGAATACAAAGACATACACACACACACACACACACACACACACACACACACACACACGCACGCACACGCACACACCCACACACATGCACCAGAGAGAGAGAGAGAAGATGGCTGTGGGGGAGGTCCAAAAGTGGCTGGGGTGGGCGTGGTTCTTAAAGTGGCAGCAGAAGACTAACATTCCCAGACCCTTTTTATAATAAAAAGTAGAAGGTTAGACATTACAGGTTGAAGGAATTGGGGCGGCGAATTTTCAAGACTGCTTCCAGCTGATTTGTGGGTGTCATCTTTGGGGGGTATGGGGTTGAGGGAGATCCGAGAGAAGCTGGGTGTTGGTCACATCCTGGCATAGCTGGTCTCTGCTCCCAACAGGACAGGTGTCTGTGGCATGGAAATGTCCCTTGTGCCTGGTTAGGGTGTTGGCAGAACAGAGGACAAAGTTAAATTGAGAAAAAAATTTAGGACCAGGGAATTGAGAGGTTTGTATCTGACCTGTTTAAGGTGGGTTTTTTAATTTGGCTCCCTGGAACTTATAAGAAAAACAGAAGTTTTAGACATATATATTGTATTAAGAACTCCTTGGGTTTGTAAAAACAGAAATTATAATGAAAAGTATTTTTATTTGGTGAGACAACCTGGCAAAACCTCTCAGCTATCAGACTGTCAGAGATCTTTGAGAAGGATAAGATTTTACTTGAGTTACTGATTTAAAAATGACAGAGAACTTACTTGGTTGGCACCCAGAGCTACTCTTTGGTCCTCCCTGGTCGCTGAAGGTTGCATTTGACCTTTGTTGTTTAATGTACAGCCTGCCAAGCTTTTGAAGACCCTGTGGACTAGGGAATCTTTAGGAAGACAGGTCTACCTTACCTGCGCAGCTAGACTGTCGATTCCAGTGATTATGTCCACATTTGGAGGTCTCCAGGTTAGGTGAAAGGCAGTTTTTTGCCCAATGGTCAGTGCTTGGCAGTCGAAGCAAACTGCAGATGGACGTTGGTCTTCTGTCTTCTCGGAGGAAACAGAGTGCTTGCTAGGAGCCAACCTGTCTCTTTTTGTTATGAAAAGTTTTTTAAATAATTAAACATTTAAATATCGCATTTCCCAGATCTCTGAACAGTTGAGGGCTGATTATTAGGTATAGCTGCAATATAGAATCTATTTGGAAGGTTGGATTTGAGTTTGACTGTATTGACTCTTAACAGGAAAGATTTATATTTGTAAAAAGACAGACAGGAAGAATAAAACTGTTTGTAACATTAAGATTAGTGACAGAACTAAAATGGTAGAAAACAGCTTAATAGTACATACCAGTTTAAAATATGAGATTTATGATTTTGTAGTCTGAAACGAGATGAAATGAACAATTATTGAACAGGAATTAGACAAAGTGTATGTTTCTGATGGGCCCTATCAGAAAGCACGTCACTATGCAAAACACCTGTAATCAGAGTTAACAAGAACACCGAGAAGGGGGAGAGGAAAGGCAGGACATACATAAGAATGAGAAAGCTTGGTTGCGTGATCTGGCTCTCAGTGAATCTAGTGATAAAGTCACCTGACCCCAATGAACATGGCAGTGGCCACATGTTGTGGCTTGAATGGAAAGCCGCGGGAATTTTAAAACCGGGGGCCGCCTGGTTGTTGAATTGTGAAAAACCCACATAGGCTGGTACGACTGGCTTTTCCAGGTTAAGACCTGTGAAAAACCAGCAAAAAATCGTGGCATCTCGAACCTATGGGGAACAGCTCCCCGTTTAGATGAGATGCAAATCGAACATCCAAAACCATGTGCCCAGGCGTCCGAGTACCCATGTGGGATGCTAATGGCCTAACCGGATCAGCCAATTACATCTGCAAGAAAGGTTGGAAGGAAGAAAAGACGGAAAGAAAGAGGAAGAAGCCTGGGAACCCCGGGTTCCCAGTTGCGGGAATGGTGGGAGCTGGCCAGGCCAACTGTCCCAGTCACGGGCTTAACAGAGGATGCAAGCCATAATGGATGCCAGCGACGGGGTGGAGAAGTACCCCTCCCTGAGCCCAGAAACACCGGGAGGACCGGTCAATCCCGGGTTAAAAAGGCTCAGATAAGCTGGCTGGAGTGAGGAAACTTACAATTAGAAGCCGGTGTTGTTTGTACGAAGGAGTCCAGGCAGTTGGCAGGGTTGAGGAAGGCCCTCGGTCCGATTCAATCCCGGAAATTGGAGTTCAGAGTCCCGGATGATATGTGAAGCCGGGACCAGCCCTTGGCGGGTGAATCTGTCGAGTCTGCGGCACCAATATTGTTCTTTTTAAAAAAATAATATGATATGATGGCATGGGTGGCCTACAAGCCAGGCAGAAGCTGCCGCCAGAGCAGTACAGGGTCCCCGGGCGAATGGCAGAGTCAGGTGGCTGGATACGGTGGACAGCGGGGTAAATGGACATAAGGCTATACATAAAGCTAGACATTTATTACTTAAAGAAAGGAAAACATAGACAAACATAGAGAAAACAAAGACATACATACATACATACACATACACACACACACACACACACACACACACGAACCCACACACACGCAACCACACACACGCAACAGAGAGGGAGAGAGAAGATGGCTGTGGAGGAGGTCCAAAAGTGGCTGGGGTGGGCTAGGTTAGTTCTTAAAGTGGCAGCAGAAGACTAACAATGTGCGTCTACTTGGTTTCTGACAATAGCACTGACGACGAACATCCACCTGGTCTATGGACTCAGTGCTTTCCAAGAACTTCCTTCTGATCTCCTGTGGGAGTGCAGACAACAGGACGGCCCTCTGCTGAAGCACAGAGCACAGACGCCATCACAGTCTTTATCAGCAGCACAGGCCAAAGTTGTCAACATGGCCTCTGGGGTAACATGGGCCATGAACACCAATATGGACCGCAGTGACAGCCAGGCCCATGGACATCAACATGGCTTCTGGTAACGGCACAGACCACAGACATCCACATAACCCCATGAGACTCAAAGGCCACCCACGTCAACATGGCCCTCAGCAGGCCCAGGGCTCATGGATATCAACATGGCTTCTGACAGTGGCACAGACAACGCACATCCACATGGTCCTCAGCGGTAACACAGACGTCAGACATCAACACAGCCCCTGGCTGCTGTAGGATCAATGACCCAAACATGGCCTGCATCCACAGCATGGACCACAGACATCAAAATGGCTTCAAGTGGCAGCATAGACCACAGACATCTGCGTTGACCTCTGGCTTCATCAGTGCCTAGGGCAGCAGCACTGACCACCAATACCATGGCCTCTGGAAAAAGTACAGACAGTGAAGGTCTTTCAAGGAGATCTGATCCAGAAAAGGAACTGTTAGACCTGATATGACTAGATGTAATTTATATCCTTCTTCTTCTGGTGTAATTTTAAACTGTGACACCATATTAACAAGATCATCAAATCCTAGAACTCCATCCAAGATTTCTTTATCACAGTGTGAGCTCTTGATCCTATACTCTTGTCCATAGCTCTAGTGGCAGGATCTGCCATAGTCTCATGGTTGCATTACAAGCCATGGCCATGCAGGAAGGATGTTTTACTTTAACACGTACGTGTGCAGTGGTTCCTTCCAGTTATGGCATCCACGCTTGGCCTGCATACAGCTGGTGAATGACATAGATCTCTGAATCCTCATCACCTCCATCTTGCAGCAAGACTGACTGAGGCTCCCAGCATTCATGACTGTAGTGAAACAAGTGAATGTTTCACAGTGCTTGCCCTACAGCAGAGCCCCCGACCAGGGCATGGACAGACTAGACGTGAACATATAGTTAGCCTGGGGTCTCCTCTGCTGCTTTCACAATAAGTTGCTCTAGGAACCGAAGTTTCCATCACTTAAGGGGCAGACAGAGCCCAAGTTTAAAAGGAGCTGTGTAAGAGAGGGTGTGGCGACTTCAGGGGAGGGGTCCCTGCAAATGCCTGTGGTCTCCCATTGCTCTATGAGTAATCCATAATAAATTCATTTCTACTCATTGAGATGAACTTAATGAGGAAATCTTTGGGTAGTGGAAAGGTCAGCAGTTAGGGCAGATGTTAATTTTTCATCTCCCCAGAAAAGTCACACCACAGTTGGTCAACAAATATTTCAGTATATGCAAATGAAACTATATATTAGATGCAGACTCAAACTAAGTGTGAAAATGTATACAATAAACTGCTATTTCAAACATATTTTCAGATTATTTAAACTCAAGAAATTTAATTTATTTGCTGTTTATTTTCTTTCCTTAAGTTATAAATAGTTCAAGAGAAGTAAGAAATGATTCTACAAAGAACATGTAGCAAGGGTGCAGTTTTCAAACTTCTGAAATCACACCTTATCAAAGCAGACTAAGATTTAGAAATCCAGCAGTGATGTTTTAAGGTAATCATGTGTTCTGGCAGGGTTTTCATCCTATAATAACACCGCCTGAAATTAATGTATGTCTTAAATAACTTGCCACATATGCCCTAGCTTAAAACAATCAATTGAATAACAATGTTTCTGATGGAAAAAGTTTCAGGTGATAAAAATAAGGGGATTTGTTGTTGTTGTTGTTGTTGTTTTAAAGTGTAATTACGAGCAAAAACCACTCATTGGTGACTAAAGTATTTATTAACTGGCAAAGAGAAAGCATTGCTGACAAGTGGTGCTGATGAACCGGATGTCTGCAGGTAAAGAACCTTCCTCTGCTCTCACCCTGTAGTGCACTCAGCTCCAAATGCACCAAAGACATCAACACAAGACTTCAGGAGTCAAAAAAAGAAAAAATACACAGAGTGTGTGCCTAAGAACTGCTTCCTGAAATGAAGAGCCTGTGGGCTGGACCGGCTACAGGGAGGAGAGAGAGTCCAGAGATTCAGAGGACAAACCTGGGAGATCCAGGAGATGCTGCTGAACTGGAACCTGTTGGCAAACCTGGGATACAACACTGCTTTACTGGCCGAAAGAAGTGAGGCTCAGACCTGAGTCCTGCACTCAGCAGGCAGGGCCTCTGCAGGCCTGGCTGAAGCTCTCAAGCCTGACTCCTCCTCCAGCCCAGGCTTCTGCAGAGAATTCATAAGAGCAACCCAGCTGAACATTGCCCAACCTCCACTCACAGGGTTCAGAGGAAGAACATCTGCCATCTGCGCAGACTCTGATTCCTGCCTGGCTTCCTGGAGGAGCTGTGTCTCTTTCACTTTCAAAAATACTTTTACAAGCTGAGAAGCCTTGGCCAGGGAAGCCCACATCAGAGAGCCCCCTGAATGAGCAGAGTGAGTAGTGGGACCCACAGAGTCCACCGAATTATTTGACTTATGGGAAGATAAGTGCATTAAGGCATACTACGGCAGACATTGGGGACCTTTTCCTGAGATCCAGGGCCCAGGCTCCACCCCTGCTTGGAGAATCTGCAGGCCAGCTCTGGTGTGTGAAAGGTTGCTGGGTTTCCCTGTATGTGTCTGTTCCTGTCATAGCCTATCTTGCGCCCTCCTCTCTTCTGTCTGTCGTGAACCTGCAGGAATAAGGGTCCTGAGTGGGGAGGTGTTAGTGTGAAGCCTGAGGATGAGAAATAAAGAAGAAAACAACAGTCCATGGGACCTGCAGGGCTTGCCTAAGATAAAACTTATGCCATGGAATTTGTTTAAAAGTACAATATCATATAAACTATTTCCTGGGGAACGTGGCTAATGTCAAAAGAAAGCTATATCCATCACTTTCCATGGCTATCCTGGGCCAAGTCTTCGCTGCTGTGGTTCTTCAAACTTGGAGACCTAAATCTTCTGTCTGCTGCTGGTGGGAACTGTGCCCTCCTCTGGGAACAGAGCGGATTCTGCACTAACAAACACAAGCTAGTCGAGAGGACCCATAGACTTAATTAAGGACCAGACAAAGATTCAGTGACAGTCATCTTCCTAAGGGTGGGCTTTTGTTCCCTCCCACTCTGGCTCATCCCCTTGATCTCTCCATTCCACCTCCTCCATTTTCCCTGTCCTTTAAAAGTTTCACACAAGTTCTTCCTGGATCAAGTCGTTGCCATCACTAGGTCCACATTAGGACAATGGCTACCCTGACTAGGAGCTTACTGGGTCCCCTTTCTTGAGTCTCATCTTACTCACTGTAGCCCCAACTATTAATGGTTTTTAAAGGTTCCTCTGGGAATGAATGACAATCACAGAATCCACTGCCCAGATTAAGTTAAAACTGTTTTCATGGTTCATGAAGTCACCCAAACCTATGCCCCTTAAAACCGTAAAAATAGAACCTAGCCCCACCTCTGCCTTGTCATTCTGCTGGAAGCAAGCAATGAAAAAATATACACCCTTCTTTTAATGGGTCCACAGTGTTAGATAAAGGACCTTAATGACTTAAGAAAAGAAACCTTAGACAAACTGGGATAGGCCAACTCGAAAAAAACTTTCCTGACTAGAAAGCCAATGTAGTACCAAGAACATCTCCCCACACCATTAAAGAAACCATAAATAACACATCCACTGATAAACCTTCCACCCAGAGCCCCCTCTTCTGCCCTATAATGTCCAAATGCCTGCACCTGGACACATAGTCTCCATCCTCAGGAGAGACTGGAGTCCTTCAGTTGTTCTGATCAGAGGACCATCTCCCTGTTAATGGTTTCTCTGCTCTTTCTTTTATTTCCCGATCTTCTCCATGGGTTCTGATCAAACGCCCTTTCCCAGAGCAGAAACGGTCGTCAGAGACCGGGATCCACTGGCCTCCTATTTTGAGCAACAACAAAAGAGACAAGCAAAGCTCTGTCAGCAAGAGCTGCACAGCCAAGCATCATCACCATGGAAGAAGTTCAGTCGAATAAGGCGAGTGGTGCAGAGGAGGCACAGCAAAAGGGCCAACAGGTCATGGATTCCACCCAGAAGTGGGGGGAGCAGATGGATCCGGAGCCTCAGCAGACCAAAGCCCCAGCAGAGAAGGACTTGACAAAAAGTAAGTACAATAAGGACCCCAACCCACTGCTACTGTGACCCCTTCATCACCACTGAGCCCTCCTGCCAGGGTTTCCATGGGCAGACTAGCCACCTGTCAGAAGGATTCACAGGCCCAGGACAGCCTGGAACCAAAAGGCATGCAGAAAGAACTAAGTGAACCTTAGAACCCCACACCCTCAGCTACAGGAGTGCATTCTCAGGCCCCTAGGAAGTAGCACTCTGTAACTTCATGAATGGGGAGAGGCTGGCATTCAGGATGACTCTGAAAGGGAGGAGAACAGGGTTCAAGTGGGTCCCCAAAAGGAAAGCTTGGTGACACTTAAGTTACAAGCCCAAACTGAAGCTTGGCAGATGCAGGCTCCAGTCATGGCTCTAACACCCCGGACAAGTCACTTTACAGCCCTCAGCCTCCATGTCTCCATTTAGGAAACAGGAGGGAGCTAAAAACCTGTTTCCTTGGGCTGTGGAAGTAAAGTGATAATCCATGTTACTAATTAAACAGTACAGTATTCAGTTAATGTTCAGGTATTATAAGTACAAGTCAATACAATTGCAGCTGCTGTTATTATTATAGTTTGGAACCCCGTGGGACAGAATCTCAGAGGGCCAATGAGGGAGCTGAGGCTCACAGAGAAGACTAGGGACTCACAGAGAACACTACTATAGAGCCAGGGCAGATGTATGAACTTCATGGTCCCAAAGAAGGCTCTTTCCTCATCAGGAACTCTGAGAGCATCATTCTTCCCATGTGACAGTGAAGAAGGCTATGGGATGGGCGTAAGGCCCCCAGGTTTGTTCCCCTGACTCCTATCTCTGTCTTTCTGACAGACACACAGCTGTCTCCTTTCGAGGGCCAATTCTTCCTTATTTCAGGCTCTAGGGCAGATCTTAACATGGAGTTCCTTAGCCAGGCATCTCACAAGAACCACTGTGTTAGGCCACCAGCCTCTGTGACACTCAAAGTGTAGAAAGAAAAAAAAATCTTGTTAGATGGGAACCTGAGCAGTCTGTGCAGAAATGAAGATGAACTAAACTTGGAGCCGTGGATGGAACTTAAAGGCCACATAGGTAGTGCTTCCTCACAAGTGACCATCCTTCTGTATGGGAACCTGAACAAAGGACTTAAATACAGAGAAGTCATGGTGGAGGGCTAAGAGTCACAGACTAGAGAGGCTCCACAGTAGTATACAATGCTGAAGTTGCATTTGACACAAGGAAAATCTGGAAACCATGAGGGTCAGCAGTGAGTCTAACCCACCTGGCACCCAGATTTCAGCTCAAAATATGAGTGGTTACTGAAGATCCAAGGGAGTCATGGAGGTTATGATGGCCAAAGAAGGTTTCTGCTCCCTGAGATGAACCCTGAGAAGAGGGCAGGCTCCTGCCTCACCTTCAGTCATATTCAGCTACTGACCTCATTCTCTTTACCCAGGCCACACTTGTAGACAGATTTTCCTTTGACCACCAGCTCACCAAAAACAACACGGAGACTTGTTATTAATTATAAACCTAATGTGTAGCTTGGGCTTACATTATTAGTTCTTATAACTTAAATTAACCAATTTATATTAATCTTTGTTTTGCCTCATTACTTTTTACCTCTCTTCCACCTTGAACCTCCGGCTTTGTTCCCTTGTCCTCTGGCATCTCTCATGCACCTAGATTCATCTGCTCTTCTTCCTTTCTGCCTGGAAGTCCCACCTAACCTCTTCTAGCCTAGCTATTGGCCAATCAGCTTTATTTATTTTATTTTTATTGGTTAAACCAATTTTATTAAACCAATTAGAAAATGACTTGGCAAAAAAACCCATCTTTACAGTGTACAAAAATATTAGGCCACAACACACACCCTTGCTGCTTCCTTTTCTCAAGCATGAAAGTAGCCACCTCTCTCCATTGCACAAGGTCTAGAGAGACGTTAACTTGTCCTAGCTCACAGCACACAGAGACAGACACTGGGCTGCAATCCAGAACTCTCACTAACGGGAAATTGGAGACACATCTTTCAACCTACTGCTACAGTATTAACGTCCTGCCTAACTCTTGTCCTTCAATTTAAAGTTCATTCTTTTTACCCCACATTAAGCTTTGAAAATATTGACTATAGAGTCAAAGTCCCTTGCCTTTGATGGTCACACTGATTTTACTTACTTTGTGATAGGAATAAAGTCATTATGTCTAAGGACATGTTGAAAGAGATTAGATCTATCTCACAGAACTTCCCTGTTGTCCCATTTAAATCAATTCCCCTTCATCCTGTCCTTCCTAATTGCAATTAATTATGAATCAAAACTGTGTTTTAGAGACTCTCACTTTCCTCCCAAGGATGCCACTTACTAAGTAACCATCAGTAACTACTTGAAATGTGTGCTTCAGCCCGCTAGAACTTTGTCAGAATCTGTGTTCTTCTTTATTCTTTAGCTCTTTGGCAGGGGCTGTAACCCAGTTCCCAAATAAATCCACCATCTTTTTCTGACTTACAAATGGCTGACCTTAGCATTTTTGTTTCTAGCCATCTTTTCTTAAGTTATCCAGTCTTTCTACTGCTCGGGGAGTTTACCTTCCTTTACTAATTCCTTTGTAGGCTGCTGTGTAGCTGAGTGTCTGGCCCCACTGAGTGTTCCTCGTGTTCATTTCTCTTCCTTCCTCGTTTATCCTCACTATTCCCAGCTTTCAAGCTATTCTATTCAAATAATTCCTCTCCATCACTAACTTCCATGCTCAAGTTTCATTGTGTATCAAAACTGTGTTTTAAATATTCTGACCTTCCTCCCTAGAATGCCACATAGTACCTGTCAGCTATTATTTGAAAGATGTACCTGAGCTCCCCCTAAAATTTTCTCAGAATCACTGTTTCAATACAGTATGCCCAACTTTTAAGTTTTACATCAAACACTAAGGAATAATAAGGAATCAAAAATGAGGTTACTAACTAGTTGTGAACATATTCCTCTAATCCCAGAACTTGTGAAATTAATGCAAGAAGATTCTGAGCTTGAGGCAAGCCTGAACCACACAGTAAGATGCTACCTATCCTGGTGGGAC